CGGCAACTCTCTTTGTCGTCTCAGCGGCTTCCGGTTTTCGATTTCCCCCCGATCCAGACTTCCTGGCTGTCAACAAACGTTCCCCAAACACTTTAATTACATTTGTAACGGTTGATTTGGCAACTTTTAGCGATTTTGCCAACTTTGCGTGCGAGTAGCTCGGATTTTCACGATGCGCGAGCAAAATTTTGATACGCTGCTCTTCTTGCTTGGACGGCATTTTGACAACTGAAGAGTGAATTCCAAAATCAAAATAGGAGCAACATTCTACACACACACCTTCAAAATGAGGGGTGTTCAGGTTTTTTAAATGCAAAATTGAAAGAAATACGTCAAGTTGATATTGACCAAATTTTGACCGTATAACCCTTTAGTCTTGTTTTTCAAAACCACCCTCAAAATATCTAGACAGTAGTTGCAATCTTACCTTCTGCGAAAACTTTACTCTTTCTCATTGCCTCCACTACCGGAATCTGTTCCCGGAACTACACGATGCACGATTGATTTTCTGCGGTTTGATTCTAGTGTCTCATACTATATGCCCTATTGGATTTTTGGACCATGACAATGAGCTTTTCAAGAGGTGATTTTGACAGTTGTACAATTTTTATTTTAAAAGTATGAACTTTTAAAATTACATGTCGATAATGAAAGAAAAACTTTCAAAGCAAAGAAAAACAATTCATTTTGAAAATATTCATAGTTCAACCACCAAATTCGAGAAACTTTTAATTTGAAATGTAAAATTTTTTAAAGATACAATTTTTGTTTTTTGTGTGTACCATCAGATAGGGGAAAATTTTCCCAACCTGTTAGCGGTGTTAGTATGTGGGGCGAGCTATTAGTTAAGCCAAACCGACTGAAGGGGGAATGGTCGTTTACCTTATCGGATAGCTCAGTAGTGGGTAACGGGATAATTCCAGCCCCCAACATCAACGGGTGAATTGGCTCCCATCACACAATAGATTAAGTCTCCATGCACATCACAATGTCTTCAATTGTAGGATGTTTCCTCCAGCGTCAAAACAGCGAGATTGGGAATTTCCATAACCAGTTTAGTAACTCGCGACAGTTTTTTAAACATGCCATTTATTGATAACACATCACGGAACATGCAAACTAGTTTATTCACTTAACACTACTGGATTTATTTAGCTTAAAACTACTACATTATAATACAAGGAATGAATTAAAAAACGGCCGTGGGTCTTCTGCCCGTGTGTCTCGGTGACTAGGTGGATGCGGACTGGTTGTCGGTCCGTATCTTTCAGTCCAACAGACCTTCGGTGCCTCGATGCGATGTTATTCGTCGTTGGCTCTCAGAGCGATTTCCGCCGCTCTTATCATCAACTATCCAGCCTTCTTTATCACTCCCGTGTGAATTAAAGCTGTGATGATGATGATGATGATGACGATGATGATGACGATCTTGACCGTGGTGGCGGAGAAGATGAGAGCGTAGTGATCACCTTGTTTCGGTTAGCTGCTTGTAGATAGTAGACAGTCGATCATATTGTTACCCTGACCATCTGAGTTGGTGTGGCGATTGCAGCGTGTTGTTGACAGGGTTGTAGTTTGACGGGTTCTTTGTACTCTTCAACACCCTTACCCACCCTGAAATTCGTAGAATTTCTGAAAATAGAAAGCAGATCCTCTTCGACGGAATGGGATGGTGGAAAGGGAAAGGTTATGATTGGCTGGCTGTTTGACTTGGCTTCGCACTATAATTTTCTTCAGGAAGCGGCAGGATGCAAAGCTTTTCGACCGGTCTAGTTAAAAACCCTGTGGCAGTTTTAAGGGTCACAACTCTGACCACACCGTCTCTACCAGGATGGACTTCACTGATCCTTCCCTTTCTCCATTTCATAGGAGGTTGGTTGTCGTCCTTTATGACTACCAACTTGCCTACGTCGATTTGAACAGCTGGCTGCCACCGTTTAGTTCGAGCTTGTAGCTGGCAGAAGTATTCCCTGCGCCATCTCTTCCAAAAATCTTGCAGCCTCCTTTGGGTTAGTTGTAGAGAATCCAGTCGATTGATCGGCAGCTCTGTTAAGTAAGGTCGGGGATTGACTGAAGGGATGAGCCGATCAGAAAATGTGCGGGTGTCAGTGGCGGTCGTTGGGGTCATCGGATAGAGGCGTAAGAGGGCGAGAGTTGAGGCAAGTTTGGCCCTGAGTAAGCAGCGTGCTGAAGTCCTCTGGGGCTACTGGTGTTTCTCCTACTACTCTTAAAAAGTGGTATTTGGTTGAGCGAACTGCTGCCTCCCACAAGCCTCCAAAGTGAAGTGCGGTCGGTGGAATAAAATGCCACTGAATACCATCCCTGGCGCATTCCTTGGATACAGTGTCATGATGATCGCGACTCTTCAGCAGTTTTAGGAGTTCTTGTAATTTATTGCGTGCGCCGACGAAATTGCTGAATACAGTAACCTTCTATATGGCAAGGATCTCGAGATACAGCTTGTACAGGAAGCTCAATTGCACACTAACGCCACGTAGTGAGCAAATTCTGAACTACTATCCTTGGCCTTGATCCACTGAAATTTTTTTCCCGAGGCAGAATCCTTCTACATGTCCAGGATCACGAGATATTCCATGTTGTAAACAATTAGGCCAAATCCCAGATGCTGCGTGGACTCTAGATATGCGGTCCGTATTCTGTGCATATATGGAGTATATGCGCATTAGTGTGCACACAAGTGCTACATAGTGAGTTAAATAGTTCAAAGCTAAATTATCTAGCATTCTGAGGGCCTTAAGGGTTTTTAATCTAATTTCCGTGCTACTAAGCACATCCCGCACTTTACTTCTCTTTTTGATTGGGTTTGAACAAAATATGGAATGTTTTCTTAAAAGATAACTTCTAAATTTATTCACATTAACACTGGTTTCTTGATTCTAAATTCGTCCTACGAGTTTCAATTCCATCCGAGCGCATTGAAACGCCATTAGATTTTCTTCGTCCTACGGATGATGGTAGAAAAAGTGGATACGCTAGAAGCGTTTCTTTTGTTTTGAGAACAATGAGTTTAAATATTAATACAATGGCTTCGTGTTGTGGCTTATGAACTAACGTATCGGAACAAACGTACTATTGTTTTGTGCATGGTAAAATCATTTTTTTAGGCTTTATTTTTGAGATTTTTAGCCGTAGGCTAGTTCATCTCGTTAGTAAAATCATTGATATTATTGATGATTTCTGCTCGATAGAACGGAAATGGGTGATAACGACGAAGAAGCGCTCTTCCCTGTCTGTCTTTGAGTTGTTGTCGACGCCGACACTCATTGCACACCAAATTTCTTAAATTTTGTTCTGTACTTTTTTTTGCTGCATTCGTTCTGTAAAATTTATGTTTTACCAAAAGTTTTGAAGAATGTGTTGTTTTACCATCTTTCCGTAATGAAAAATAATGAATTTCTGTAATTTACAGAAGTTTACCGAAAACTGTAAATAAAAATTGCTGATCGAAACTGTAAATTGAAGGCATGCTGCAAAACTGTAAAAAGTTTGCAAATTCTTTACTGTCAACCGAGCTGTCTTCATCCAACAATGCGGCCATTTAGGTTGAGCGTTGTCCGGTTCTCCGGTGAGAATAGTAAGTACTTAACTTTTTTTTTAACATTTTCCGTATAATCAACACTGAACGGAACATTATTTCATTACTAATTCTCATTTAGGCGAACCGCTTCCAGTTATTGATGCTAACTGCATAAGCAACATAATGTCCTCCTCAGCTGAAAGAAAAAACCAAATTGTGCGCATGTTTTCATCAGACCAAGTTTACCGTCGATAACTTTGTCCGGGTTCTCAGCTGAATTCAATTGAAAATAAATTATTTTTCTGAGTAAAATGAATCATTCGACATATTTTATTATCAAAAACACAAAAAACTGTTAAAAAACGTTCGGTAACGTTAACATTACGTTACGGAACGGTATTGTAAACATTACCAATTATTCAGCAAAATTTACAATGCGGAATTCGGTAAATTTTGACAGTTCAAGCGGAAAGCTAAATTTACTGAATGTACGGTAAAACAACAAAAAATTACCGAACCGATTACCGAATGTTCTGCTATTCCATATTCGGTAAAAAATTACAGTAAACTGTAAAAAGATCTTAGTGTGTGGGTTTTTCATTTGCGTACTGAATAGCACGATCAGCTCCATCCCTTTTTCATTTCCTCGAAGATATTTGCTAGCCTCTGATAAGTTTAATTACCACGTGATGGTGATGGTTCTTGATTGCAATGAGTCGGTTACTTTGTTAATATTATAGTCGAGAAGACAAAGAAATTTAAAATCAATTTGTTTCAATAAAACTCGAGCACCGCACACCGTTGCGCTATTATATGTTGTCAGATCTGTTAAATGGGTAAGAACGGAAATAGAGGAACAAATTAGAGCTGAAATTGCTTGTCTTAATTGCTAATTAAGAACACTCCAACGCGTACTTGAACTACTGAAATATTTGAACATCTCTTATATTGTTCCAAGAAAAGCAATCATTGCAGGTAAAATACTGATTGCTTAAACTCTGATAAAATTTAGACTATGAACAGTACATCATAACTTTAAATATCTGAAAGTCAATAGTGGATTTGGGCGCCCCTAACGGGGGTTACTTTCGCCTCTAGCAGGTTTAAGTGAAAGAGAACGAACATATTTACACGCTTTTCATGCACTTATACTTAGAGCTACCCATTTCAGCACACTAACACTTAAGAAATCAGAGAGATAGGGAAAATGCAGGTAATGTCGGCCTAAGTGTCCCTAATTTGGGCCTATACATAAATTCAACAATCGACTAAATTTTCAATAGCAACCAAAAATATCCATTAGTAACGTCCCAATAACGCGTTCATCTAGATAAAATTGATAAATAGCAGATTTTTAGCGATGGGCCCAATCTTAGATCCATAGGCCAACATTAGAGACATTTCCCCTACTTTAAATTAATCTTTTTTGTTTATAACTTTATTATTGAATTTATTATTTCAGGCGAATCAGTCGATCCCGATGGAACATCAAAAGCCACTATAGTGTATATCCATGGCGAATCATACGAATGGAACTCAGGCAATCCATATGACGGTTCCTTGATGGCAGCTGATGGAAATGTGATCCTTGTTACGGTTAATTTTAGGTTAGGTATCCTAGGTGCGTATTGGCCGTAGTGATTATTGAACATCTTATCCACGAATGTCATCCATTAGGAGGGAAATCTCGATGAACATTTCAGTTGGTCCTATCTGCTTTGATCGATTCTCTTCATCGACTTTCTCTTTTCATAACCACTGCTATGGAAACAGATTTCGTGCTAATTCTACCACATAGCTTGATAAAGAAGGTTCATATCTAGCGCCCAAAACGTCAAATACAACAGGAAAAGGTTTTGCAGCTGAGTTATTGACGAAAGAGAAAGTCGATGAAGAGAATCAATCAATGCAGATAGGACCTTTTAAAATGTTTATCTAGAAATGTTGTTTAGAATAAATTCAATCGAAAATAATAAACTAATATCCAATGTTTGCAAAGACTCACGATAACAATGACAAGTGCCAACATAATCACATCATGTGCAACCAATGCAATGATACAAATCGATTTCGACTAATGTCTATATAATAGCACCAGCAAGAATCATTTCATCATCCGTCGCTCTAGATACACACACTTATCCAGTCAGTAATTTTTCCGAGTTTTTGAATTGCGGAATTGTTCGGTAAAATTTAAAAAATCTGTGAAAAATACAAAGATGCGAAAATGTGTTACGAAAATTGAAAAATACAATTTGTCGATTTTATCGAATCTTTACGAATAACGATCATTTGAAGTTTTTACCCGAGTTTTTCAGTAATTCAAAAAACCAGTAAAAATACTGACTATGTAAAAAAATCTAAGTGTGCACAGTTTTCCGCTTGATTGCAATGTGGTGCACAAACAAAATAGAGGGGGCTAAAAAAATTCAATGGATTTCCGATTTCATTTCAGGTTTTATGAAAACAGGAGCAAAGAGTAGTGCCCAAGGAAATTTTGGATTGATGGATTTGGTAGCTGCACTACATTGGCTGCGGGAAAATCTCTCAGCATTCCATGGCGATCCATCGCGAATTACATTGATGGGTCATGGGACAGGTGCTGCATTAGCCAACATTTTAGTTGTATCCCCTGTAGCTAGTGGTCAGTACACAGCATGTATATACTTTTAATAAATATCGTTATTATGTTTGTTTTTACTACTTGCAGATTTAATTCGACGGGTAATTCTATTAAGCGGTTCCGCTCTATCACCTTGGGCTATCCAAAGGGATCCATTAGCAATAAAACAAATGGTTGCCAATCAAACCACATGCAAACTTGATTTACTATCCGACGACTTAGCTCCGTGCTTAAGGACTAAATCAGTCTCCGAACTACTTAGAATAACTCCTTCAAATCCAAGGTAAAAACATGTTATACAAAGTTAAATATAGCGAGACCGAAAAGTATATAACTGATCAAATTAAAGTTTGTGTTTATTCATAGCATCAAATATTAAAGTTTCACTAACGTATTCCTCTTAATTCTTGATAATAAAATACTAAAATAATATCTTTATTTATTTAACACTCCGAATACGATGCCTCCGAAAAACGTGTAACGGCAAGTTTGCAATGTTATAACTTAGCCATTTCTTAATGATTTTCAAAAATTGTGGTACCTTTAGAATTCCTAGGGTTGGGATGATTTTGATTGCAAAAAGATTGAAAACCACTTTTACGGATTTTTTGGATCTTCCAGAGGGCGTTCCGATGGTCATCTGGGTTCATGTTTATGATCCCAAATTCATTCTAATATCACAGTTCCTAACGTTTTCAAGAAAACCACGGAGTTCTAGGATCAGTTTCGTGAATTTTCCACTTTCACGGATGTATCGGATCTTCCGGAGGACGGTCTCATGGCCATCAAGGTCCATGTTTATGTCACGATCCCAAATTCATTCTATCATCTCAGTTCTTAGTGTTTTTCAAAAACTGCGGAGCCATAGGATCAGTTTCATGGATTGACCACTTTTACGGATGTTCCGGATCTTCCGGAGGACGGTCCTATGGATATCCAGGTTCATGTTTATGTCACAACCCCAAATTGCTTCTATCATCACAGTTCGTAATGTTTATTAATAAAAACGCGGAGTTTTAGGATCAGGATCGTGGATTTACTACTTTTACAGATGTTCCGGATCTTCCGCTGTACGGTCCGATGGCCATCTGGGTCCATGAACCAAATTCGTTCTTATATCACAGATCCTAATGTTAAAAAAAACGCGGAGCTCTAGGATCAGTTTAATGGATTGTGCAGTTTTATGGATGTTCCGGATCTTCCGGAGGTCGGTCCCATGGCCATACAGGTACATTTTTATGTCACGAACCCAATTATTTTTTTGCCGTTACACGTTTTTCGGAGGCTTCGTAGTCGGCGTAAAGTTTTTTACCCACCGTGTTGGGAGTGTTAATCTGTTTCCGGCAACTTTATTCAACAAAGCTGTTTCATATAAGTCCTATTTATTTATTTATATATTTATTTCGTCAACCAACGTAGACTAGTACATATTAGAATACAGTTTTGTTTTCTTAAATTTATTTATTTATTTCGTCAATTTTTTCTTAAATAAAAATTAAGCAGTGTCAGCTTTCCTATTTTTTATGAGTTATAGTGCCTTATGGAGTAAAAATATTGTTTTAGTTTATGCCGAGACATTGTAAAGTCAATGGTTTCGCAGTATTGATTGTAAGAGGCCATCATGCGGTTTAATGGCCCATATTTTGCATAATTTGTGCGATGATGTTTTATGGCAAATAAATTTCGATTTCGGAGTTGCCGAGTAGGTGCATGGAAATTTAATTTTGATAAAAGTTCTGTGGAGTCAATGCGTTGCGAAACGATACCGTTTACAAATAAAACCATTGCATATTCACGACGCTCTTTTAATGTTTGTATGTTTATAAGCATGCAGTGTGCTTCATATGATGGAAGAGGAAATGATGTCCAACCTAATTTACGAAGAGCGTATAATAGAAATTGTTTTTGTACGGATTCGTGCGTGATTGCGTGCGTGATTGAAAAAGGAGACCATTTCTATTGTGTTCACTCCTCTCTATATGTTCCAGTAAGAATTTTAAGATTGTCCCTTACGAAAAAGGAATTTGCGTTCAAAAGTGACCCCTCTTGGCTATTATAAGAGCTATCGAAATGATGATTTTTTGAAAACTAAGGTATGGGAGAGAAAGTTTAAAATGCTTTTATTATTCGATCTTAAAAAGTTGAAATTTATCCATGCGAAAAAGGAGTGAAACATATTTGAAAAAAAAACATATTTTATGCACCACGTGTCCCTCATCATAAAAAGCGAATAAAAAATAAATAAAAATAGATGCATTTGAAAAATTATCTACCATACCTCACCGTGAAGGAAATTTTAAACCATTAGGGGTTTTTCCTGTTAACTTAGATTTAAGCATAAAATTGAATTACTGCTAACACAAATTGAAATTTAAAAATGTTATACACAATACACCCATACAGTTTTCGTACAGATACGCTAACACTAATAGACACTGATAAAATTGATAACACGTACACAGGAATACAACATGAAGTTAGGTTTAGGTAGATGTGGATAACAGAATCCCCAGTTAGTAGCCAACTGATCTCGCGGCAATAAACATTTTTTATACACCGATCCGCCGCGTGTGCACAATAAAGCCAGCTTTTGTAAATTAATAAAGCGTGATAGTTTTCCGACAGTATTTCGTACATATTTTTGGAAGACTAAAAGGACGAGGAAAAAGGACACCAAGGATTAAGGAGGATACGTTTGTCAAGGATACTGGAAAGGATATTTCGGAAAAAGAATGAAACGGGAGTAGAAAGTACGGTGAGCAGTAACATTATACTTGCGCGCCCTTGCGTGCTGTTTTTAGAGGTGGTTTCCGAGCCACGAACCATGGAGTGTTCAACAAGGGGAAAGTGAGGCAAGATTTCTATATAGGACAAGACGGCAACCTTGGTCCATGGGTATCAAACTGCTTTACGAAAATATTCCTAGAATAGGGGATGATTAATAACAATGCAAAACACTAACAATACCACACACAAAAATATCAACAAAAACACCTCAGGAACACACGAAATACCATCTTGCCTCACAATCTTCTATATTCGACTGCTATTGCTTTAGCCACGATGGTCAACTTGTTTTTCGATTTTCAAAAAAGGTCAAAAGTACAACTGATCAGACAACAAATATATTATTGGCATGACTCAAAGTGTAATATTGCAACAGATCAAAATTTTGGGCCAAATAAAACATTTTAACCAGATATTGATGCTTTTTTTTTGTTTAAAGAGACTTTACCCTTTATTCCTCTCTGAATTTATGTTAATGCATTTTAATTTCTTCCAAATACATAGTTCCTCTTCTTTACTTTATGATAAACATTGATTTTTCAACAACATACTACCATACTACCAACCGGTGGAAACTAACGATTTTAAATTGGCTCACTATTTGACTAGCCTATTGGTCCCAAGCAAATCGTTTAACGTACCCCATTCTAGTCGAAAGTCTAGTACTACACTATGTTTGTTTTGATTCGCTATGAAAGTTTGACAGATAAAATGAGGGGTTCTTGGATTTTTCTATGTGTCGAGGGGTGTATCGATTAGCTTGGGACCGAAGATAGTACCAGAGCGGAGCCAAAAAGTTGAGCACGATTCTTCGGTTACCTCTATGATACTACCATGTATCTATGAACTCGTTTTTGTAAGTGGAATCCAAAAGTGATGCATGATTTACATGAATAGCACATCCTTGGTGTTTTGCACAGGATACAGGATAATAGGGTAGGGCCAGGAATAACAGGCCCCGGAATCAACTGTTCTGTAGCAATGGGTGAATGACAAATAGTATTCCAAGCAGAGATATTTGCTGAAAAATAAATTAAAGGAAGGCAAACATATGCATTTTTTCGGATTGTTAAGCAGCATGTATGTTATTTATGTATGTTTTTTTGCAATGTCATCTATATGTGCAACTACCCTACCCACTGTACCACTAAAATATACACAACAAAGCAACAATAAATTAGTGTTTCGTATGCCTCCACCAGGCCAGTGGCAAGGCCTATACCAACAGCAGCGTTTGACAGTAGGCAGCATGTCCCGGGCTTAAAACGTTCATTTTGCTGTGCTGGGCCCGCTGTCACGGTATAACATGTTGCCTAGGCGCCTGTCACTGGGCTGGCCTCCACCATGGCAGGACGGCGAAGCAATCGGTGCGTTTCATTACTATCCGTCTCGATCGGGATAAAAAATTGAAAGATAAACAACACAACGTATAGGGATCTCTCCCGTGCGCGATAAATTATATTTTTCAAAAACAAGGATCTATTACAGTCTACTGTAGGCTATTGCTTTGGACACTCTGTGGAAGGTTCCGGATATAATCGTGGATGCGGCTCAAATTTAAATGAATACCAAAACGGGTCATAAGACACATCAAATAACATCAGTATGCAACATCAAACAGCATCAGCTGCTACTACAATGCATAGGTCAGCAAAAGAATTCTCTCTAGGGTGACCTTCTTAAATTCTTCAATAATAGAATAAGAGTATACAGTGTAAGAGTATTAGCATAGAGGTAACTCTAAGACCACTGGGTCCCGAAGAAAATCATTATTATTTTTGGCTCACTCAGTACCAGAACAACGGTCCCAAGCAGTCCCAAGCTATTTCACTCACCCCTGCATGTTCTGCATGAATCCACACACCCCTGATGTTATCTGTCAAACTTTCATAGCGAATCAAAACAAACATAGTGTAGTAATAGAATTTCAACTAGAATAGGGTACGTTAATCGTTTGCTTGGGACCAATAGGCTACTAAAGTGGTGAGCCAATTTAAAATCGTTAGTTTCGTATTGATTGTTGGTATTAGTATAAAGAAAGAGAAGGATTAGTAATTTCCATTTAATTCTACTACCTTAATTGCTTATCCTTGATCCTTGAATACATGTTGGGCTGTTTGGATGTTGAATAGTGTAATAGTCTGCAGGTTAATCATCAAATATAAAGAAAAAAAAGAAAGATTAGTAATTTCCATTTAATTCCACTACCACTATCTTAATACGCATATTTCATCTACAATGTGCAGACTGCATAAGGGTCTTGTAGTCGAGTATAAGTACAAGACACTGAAGAAGTCTGCACATTGTAGACGAAACACGCGTATTAAGATAGTGGTAGTGGAGTTAAATGGAAATTAACTAACGTCAACTATTAATTTAGGCTTAACTGATTCGTGTCAACTTTGTGGCCAACTCGTTATCGGTTCTGATCACCTTCCAGTAATTTTTGAAATATCTCATGAACTAATTTCCATAGAGTTGATTGGGAACAATATCAAACATTTATAGAATAATCTTCGATCCTCATATTCCAAACCAAAGATGATGTTAATTATGCTCTTGAATCTTTAAATTCTATAGTCGAAATCGAAAAACGTCCATAGGAATCAAAGAAAGATATCAAAGAACACGCAATCCTGCCATGAGAGTGATCTGGCGAAATTTGCAAAATTAACTTAAAATCGATTCTCTGTTCTGAAGATCATTCTTGTTTTAATTATTTATTAGGGTGATTTTAAGCCCCTTCTGGGCAAGATCATCACAAAACCCTGAGGAACAAAATATATGAAAAAATGTATTAACAATCAAGGGCGTAGCCAGGTTTCGAGCTAGGAAGGGGCGAAAAAAAATTCCTATGGAAAATTTGGCCGAATGCCATTTCACCGAACGCAAATTTCCCGAAATCATTTGTGTTGCTGAATTTAGGGGGAGCAGTCGCGGGGCCTCATAGCCTAGTCAGTAAAGGCACGGTATTACTAAGCCGGAGGGGGCGGGTTCGATTCCTGGTCCGGTCGAGGGAATCTTTCGGGTTGGAAATTTCTTCGACTTCCCTGGACATAGAGTATCATTGTGCTTGCCACACAATATACAAATTCATGCATTGGAATTGGCATCGAATGCTCTCAATTAATAACTGTGGAAGTGCATTTAGAACACTAAGTTGAGAGCACGCAATAAGCTAATATGCGCTAAGCTATAAGCTTGAAATGCGAATAAGAAGAAGAAGAAGTCCCCCCCCCACCCTGCCCCCCTCTGGCTACGCCTATGTCAACAATAGATCTGAGCACCAAACTCTTTTGTAAATTCACAATTTATAAATCCAGCAGATAAAAAAGGTGGTGGACTCCGTTGCATTATAAAATAATTAATTTCCATCATGAAATCATGAATCATTGTCATTATTACATGGCAAGTTTTTTATTTCATGATTTTTTATTCATGAAAATGGAAACGGATTTGTTCCCGTGAATGACATATATCAGGCAAAGTCAGTTATCTTTTTGTGTTCAGCAATCATGAACGATTTTTGTGTGTATCGATGAAGGTATCTGTATTTATGTTCTTATGAAACTAAGACCCTTAAACAATGTCAACAAGAAAAAAAAATCAAGAACTTTTTTTAACATGTATATTGTAACCGGTCTAACCTCTCAATAAAATAATTACAAAAAAGACAAAAAATGATCAACGTTTTATATGTTTCAGATTTCTACCCGGATATGCACCTTTCGTGGATGGTACAGTAATTATTAATCCCAGAACAACAAACGTTCGTCTACCTACATTGCCATCGGGTTCAGCAATTACAAGGCACGTATTCTATGCATGTACAAATGGAACACCTCACGTCAATTACGAATACTCATATATTTTTAACAATATAAATCACTTTGACACTGCGGTTTATGCAATATAGTCAATAGCTATCTCAAAATCTCATGAATTGATCATATTTTTGAACGGAGCTAGGACGTTTGGCATATGGACGATTGGAATAAAGTTGTTCGGCCGAATGGACGTTTGACCGAATGGACGTTTGGCCGAATGAATATTTGGTAGAATTTACGTTTGGCCGAATCGACATTTGGCCGAAAATTGTATACACACATATTTGACTTGGTCTTCAACAAATGTTTATAGGACAAATGAAAAGGTCCTATCTACTTTGATCGATTCTCTTAATCAACTTTCTCTTTTGATAACCACAGCTAAACAATCAGATTTTGCGTTTTGTTCACATAGTATGATAAAGGAGGTTTTCATCTAGCATCCAGATCGTCGAATACAAAAGGGAATATTTTTTTTTTCAGTTGAGTTATTCTCTGAAATGAAAGTCGATGAAGAGAATCGATCATAGCAGATAGGACCTTAGTGGTTTAGTTGAATTATTGAATGTTAGGAGGTGAATTAAATTATTTTATTGACGACACTATGCTTGGACTTGGCCCAGTCTTTCAATTAATCGTATTATCTCACTTACATAGTTCATGCTTCTGCAGTATAGGTCCTATTTTAGCAACACGTCTCCAGTGTGTTTTATATACAATTAGGGATCCAAACCTGGTTAATATTATTCTTTAAATTGATGTTACAAATGATCCTGTATACTATGAAATCATATTGAACGTTTCCATATCGTATCCCATTTCGTTGATAGTAAAATTGCACATGAACATACAGATTCATGAGTCGCCTTATATGTGGATCCTGAATATTACTACATACTTCGTTATATTGTTTTACAACCTGTAATGTTTCTGGAGCGCACAAGGCGTTGATTTATCTAAATGTTGCTTGATAACAATGCATTTACAGGATGAGCTTGAGCTTGAGCTTGAGCTTGATTGACCGCCCACGGTTGCTACTCTGTTACTGCCAGATCAGCTGTAATTACACAGAGAACCAATAGACGATGCTTGGGACTAGCAATCATCCTCAATGTGTAAAAACTGGTGATCTTAAATTAGGCAATACCAGCGCCGGCCGCGCCCAAACACAGGTCAAGAAAGGAATGGGAAGGATTGTGTTGACATGACACTCGCTTCGATGCAAGCCGAGAACACCTCTGCACTTCCACGAGGAATCACTGGGATGTTGGATAAGAGGGTTGGGTTTGCAGCAGGGTTCGTTTTGGTAAACGATAAGCTGAATTGATGTCCTAACGATCATATAACGCGAAGGAGCTTGGGACTAAACCCACGGTCTTCTGCTCAGTAAGCAAAAACGTTTGCCACTAGGCAGACGAGCACCTTTTTAATCACCGAGTTGCTGTTACTACCATGTAGTCATATTAACAAATAAAACGATTGACGAATCTTGAATGTGGATGGGCCTGAGATTAGACTCATGATGTTCTGCTCAGTAAGCAAAAACGGTTGCTCTAAGGCCACCGAGCCCCTCATATCACATAATACCGTTGCTCAAATTTGTGTATCCATTCAAACCCGGAACCAACGACTGTGGAATGTGCAAGGTTTACCACTTTATTCACCCCAGGATTCACCCCTTGTTTGTTGTGTACACCTTTGTACATATATTCATCTTGGCATGAGGATGAACAATCAGAACAATACAATAAACATAAACAGAATACAAAAGTTTCGCTACCGCGTTCTGATCGGTGTTTTTAGTGCTCGACAATAAATAAGATAAACGTTTAATCTCGCGTGTGCTCTTTATTTTTCCACAACTGATCCGAATCCGTTCGCTGTTGTTCTGTTTCGCATTCCTGCCGTCAGGTTATGGGCCCAGTAGGATCGGATCGAAAAGTGAAAACGTTGAAAAGTTTTGGTCCGGTGTGACACCATTCTTTTGTGCTTACCGCTACGTGCGATGTGTGGAAAGAACGTTCGAGAAGGACTCGAGCCGCGAGTGTTGTTCTTTTTTGATTGTGAGTTGAAAAATTAAACCGAAATGACGGACGCGAAGTTCTCGGTTCCAAAGCTCAATGGAACGAATTGGGCTACGTGGAAGATACGAGTGGAAAGTTTATTGTGTCGGGAAGATTTGTGGGACGTTGTTGTCAGTGATTCCCCGGCGGAAAATGCTCGTACTGCGGTATGGAAGACGAATGACCGGAAAGCAAAAGCCACGATCATTCTGCTACTTGAAGACAGCCAGCTCCCCATTGTGAAGAACTGTGTACTTGCTCACGATGTATTTGTGGCGCTGAAGAACTACCATCAAAAGTCATCTCGTTCAGTGCGCGTTTCGCTTTTGAAAAAGCTTTGCTCGACAAATATGTCGGAAGGAAGTGATACCGAACAGCACCTAGTGGAAATTGACGAGTTGTTTGACCGTCTTGACGCGGCCCGTACAGTGCTTGATGCAGATACGAAGATCTGCATGTTGTTGCGTAGTCTGCCGCCTTCGTTCGATGGGTTGGTTACCGCTCTTGACAGCCGCGCCGGAGATGATGTTACGATCGATGTAGTGAAATCAAAAATCGCGGACGAATACCACCGGCGGCTTGAGCGAGAAAGTGTTTCAGTGAAATCCGAAAAGGCGATGCGTTCCGCCGAGTACAAGTCGGGAAGTAAGGAGACCCGTATTTGCCATTACTGTAATAAACCGGGGCATCTCCGAAGAAATTGCCGGTTGCTGAAGAAAGAAGAAGGAAGTTCCTCCAAGAAGGAGAGAAGTGATAAAGTGAAGGCTAAAACTGCCCAAAGTGACAACAGAGGAATTGCGTTTATCGTTTCGAGTGGAAAGTGTCAATCTTGGATCATAGACAGTGGTGCTAGTGTGCTAGTGGTGTCAATAAGTCGTTTTTTACCTCCCTGAATGAGTTTCCTGGTGGCTGGATCACCATGGCCGATGGGAACAAGACTCAGATCCTTGGGGAAGGTAGTGGCGTTATACACGGTATTGACGGTAACAATGAAGTGATCAAGATTAACATGGAAAATGTGAAATATGTGCCAGGATTGTCGACCAGCCTAATCTCTGTGGAGAGGCTGACTTTGAAGAACTTCGAAGTGCATTTCAACAATGAAGGCTGCAGAATCGTGAAAGCTGGGACTGTCGTGGCGACGGGTTTCCGCCATGGTGGTCTGTATCACCTTAGAGTTGCTGAATCATCGTTGCAGGCAACATCGGGACAGCACAAGGAGAACTGTCAACATCAGTGGCATCGGCGTTTAGGGCACCGTGACTGGGCGGCTGCAGAGCGCATCGGTAAGGAACAGCTTGCGACCGGAATGCAGGTGAGTGACTGTAGTTTAAAACTTGTGTGTGAATGTTGTCTAGAGGGGAAGGCATCCCGTGCCCCATTCCCAGAAGTAACCACAAGGAAGTCGTTACAAGTCCTTGATATTGTCCACACGGACCTTTGCGGCCCGATGAAAACCGTCACTCCTAGTGGAAACAGATACGTGATGCACATCATCGACGACTATAGCAGGTTCACAGTCACTTACCTGCTGCAGCACAAGTCGGAAGCAACGAAGAACATTGTCGACTATGTGCGTTGGGCAGAGAACAATTTTGGACGTAAACCACGGGTTGTGCGCTCCGATGGCGGGGGAGAATTTGATAATAAGCGACTGCGGAAATTTTACATGGAAGAAGGTATCACTCCGCAGTATACTACCGCGTATTCCCCCCAGTCCAACGGTGTTGCCGAAAGGAAAAATAGATCGATCACGGAAATGGCAACATGCATGCTCCTTGATTCCGGTCTTGAGAAGCGATACTGGGGCGAAGCTGTTCTTACCGCAACGTATCTCCAGAACCGATTGCCATCTAGGTCTGTGCCGAAGACTCCCTACGAGCTCTGGTGGGGACGAAAGCCGGATCTGGGACACCTTAGGATTTTCGGTAGCGTTGCGTATGTACATGTGCCAGGTATGAAGAGGAGCAAACTTGACGGAAAGGCTCGTAAACTCACATTCGTGGGGTACTCCATGGAACACAAGGGGTACAGATTCGTTGACCGAGAAACTGCCAAAATCACCGTTAGCAGAGATGCCCGATTCTTGGAACTCGGGAACGGAACATCCTCGGTGGAGTTCCCAGTTTCTATGGAGCAAATGGAAGTTGAAGACGACATAGAATTGCGGCCGTTCAAGGAGGAACCCAGTAATGAGGAAGATGAGAATACCAGTTTGATCAACGACGAGTACTTTGACGCATCAGATGACGAAGCTGAAGGTTCGGACCTGGTTCGTCGGTCGCAGAGGGGAAACAAAGGAGTGAATCCCCACCTCCTTGAGGATTACGTCGTAGGAATAGCAGCTTGTGCAGTGCAGGAACCTGTAAGCTACAAAGAAGCTATGAAGAGCTCAGAGTGGCGTGGCGCAATGACGGAAGAATTGGATTCCCTCCGACGAAACGAAACATGGGAGTTGGTACCGCTACCTGCAGGCCGTAAAGTGGTGGGATCCAAATGGATTTTTAAGGTAAAACGTAACGAAGAGGACAAGGTGGTGAAATTCAAAGCCAGGGTGGTAGCACAAGGCTTCACCCAACAGTTCGGGATAGATTTTGATGAGGTTTTTGCCCCGGTGACACGTCAAGCCAGTTTGCGGATGTTTCTCACCATTACCGCAAGCCAGAAGTTGGTGGTTCGGCACCTCGACGTTAAGACAGCCTACCTCAATGGATTGCTGGAAGAGGAAATTTTTATGCGGCAGCCACCGGGTTCCGTAGCTCGAGGACAGGAGGAGTTAGTGTGCCGCTTAAAACGAAGCATTTATGGCCTTCGTCAATCGGCCAGATGCTGGAACACAAGGTTGAAGAGTGTTCTCACGAAGCTCGGATTCAAGGCATCTAGTGCAGATCAGTGTTTGTTTGTGAAGATGGAAGGTGAG